GAATCTTGGGACATCCAAACCTTGAAATGATGTTTTCGTACATGAATGTGGCAGCATGAGCAGCCGTATTTGTCTTCACTGCCTTCGCTTCCGCCCACTTTGTCAAGTATTCTGTCGCAACTATGATGTAAGCCATGCCTTTTGACAAATGAGGATGAATCTCACCGATATAATCAATTCCCCATTTTTCAAAAGGTACAAGTGGCAATGAAACGTGTAGAGGCATCTCCATTCGAAGGTCATTCCTAGCATACCTCTGACAGGCATCACAGCGCTTCACATATTCATGAGAGTCCCTAAACAACCTAGGCCAGAAGTATCCCGCTCTAAGTATTTTCTGACCTGTAAGTTGGCCAGAGAAATGTCCCCCACAAGCACTGTCGTGGCAAGCCTCTAAAATTGCGGGAACCTCCACTTCTGACACACATCTTCTCAGAACACCATCAGCTCCCCTTCTAAATAATCTGTGGCCAATCACTGCAAAATGTCTACTGTTGACTCTCACCTTCCTCCTTTCCTCCTTAGTCCAATCACCTGACAACTGCTGAGTTGTCAAAAACTCTACTATTCCAGCGTACCATTCTGGCTGAGCTGTGACTACAAAAAGACTATCATCTATCAACCTGTCATCTAATGGACTGGTCCCTACATCCTCCGACAACCTAGATAGATGGTCGGCCTGCAAGTGCATGCGACCAGGTTTATACTCCACCGTGTAATCAAATTCCTCCAGTAATAAAACCCACCTGGCCAATCTTCCACTAAGCTCCGCCTTGTTCACCAGATATTTGATTGCCATATGATCAACGAAGAAAACCACTGGATTGCAGATCAGATAATGTCTAAACTTCTTGACTGAAAAAACCATGACCAAGCACTCCCTCTCGGTAGTAGAATAGTTCCTCTCTGCTGGATTCAACTGCCTACTGGCATAAGCGATTGGCAGGTCCTTTCCCTTCTCCCCCGTGGACTGACACAGCGCACTACCCACTGCTACACTACTTGCATCACAGAAAACGTGAAAAGGCATGCTCCAGTCAGGAGGCCTCAACACCGGATAAGTACTCAACCTGGACTTCAACTCTTCAAAGGCTTCCTGACAGGCATCTGTCCACTCGAACCTATTCTCCTTCCTCAACAATTGAGTAATAGGCACTACAATCTTGGCAAAGTCAGGAATCAACTCTCTATACCACCCTACATGTCCCAATAACTTGGCTACACCCTTAGCATTCGTGGGAGTTGCCAATCCTTCAATGACTGCAATCTTATCAGGATCCGGTTCTCTTCCCTTCTCACTCACGACATAACCCAAAAGAACTCCTCTCTGAACACCTAGGAAAGTCTTCTCAGGATTCAGTGCTAGCTGCATTCTTCTACATCTAATGAGAGCTTGTCTAACACACTGCAGATGCTCATCAGCACTTGACTGAGTGCTAAAATCGTCCACAAAAACTGTCATAGACTTGTATAACAGATCCGTGAAAACATACATCACCAACCTTTGGAATGTGGCTGGTGCATTGCACAGTCCGAAAGGCATAACAACCCATACAAAAGTTCCCCACGGAGTTGTGAAGGCCGTCTTGTGAACATCCTGTACAGCTATGGAAATCTGATTGTAGCCAGCATATCCATCCATGAACGTGTACCTCGCATGACCCCCAACTTCCTCCAAAAGCAGAGTGATAAAAGGTAAAGGAAAGTGATCCTTCTCAGTACAGGCATTCAACTTCCTATAATCCACACACACTCTAAGTTTTCCATTCTTTTTCTTGACCAAAACCATAGGAGAAACCCAATCCGTGATCTCTACAGGCTTAATGAATCCAGCTTTGAGTAATCTCTCCAATTCTGCTCGAACTAACAACTGTAACTGTGGGTTCATCCTTCTCTCCTTCTGTCTAATAGGCTTAGCTCCAGGGACCAGCGAAATCCGATGCTCCACCATTTCACGAGGTACTCCCTTCAACTCATCATACGACCAAGCAAAGGTATCACTGAATTCGTCCACCAACTCACCATACTTCTGTATCTCATCCTCTCCTAGCTTGGAACCCATCTTCATTTGCTTCAGCTCTCCTCCTCTGATGGACACCTCCACATATTTCCAGTCTTCCTCCGCCACATGAGTTTGTTCCTCTGAGCTTTGATACCAATCAGGAGGGACCTGAGGATAGTCCCTGACGTCTTGGCCCACCAGAATTCCGGTTGATGTAGTCTTGAAATGCAAGGGTTCCTCCAACTTCGCATTTTTCACAGTAGTCTTCTCCTCTTGAGTTCCATCAACATGCACCGAATCCACCTCAGTAATATCCAACTCGTCCAACCATGGAGTGAGACCTCCATGTATCCACTCTTCCTCCATAAGAACCTCACATGGTTCTAGCAACAGATACTGTTCTTGTTGTGAACTAATCACCTCCTTCTCGAAAATTTTGTGATGAGAAATCATCATGGCGTCACAACCTGACTCAGGATAATCTCTCAACCACTGAGCAAACTCTCCATCCTCGCTTCTGCTGTAAAAACTAGGACCCTGAAGCTAGGACCCAAGCTACCTGATCCTACATCTAATCTATCGTCAAAGCTGGTAGGCAATCTACGTAGAGTATCATTAGTGCATGATCATAGTAGAATCAACCTTCAAAGTAAAATAGTGTGGTGAAAGTGTATTTTCACTATGAAGTAATGTAATTCTTTCAAGCTTGTACACTAGTGAAGTCAAACATAAAGATTCAACAAGTTTTTGTATCTTGTCTGACTTAGATAATGGTTCGTAGTCCACGGTCATGCTGAACTGTATGATTAGTTTTAGTTAATGAGTAACTTCAGTTTCATTAGATCAGTTTTATAGTCAAACTTTGCAATAGGAATTGTTTTAAAATGTGCATTGTACGAGTTGCGGACTTGTGAAAATAATATAATAGTGTGAAGATAGTGAATATTTGCAATCAAGTGATTTCATTCTTAGTGTATAGTAGAGAAGAAGAATTGACAAAACTTCTACGCAGGGCATTAGAGAAAAAGAAGAGAAAAAATAAAGAAAAAGAAGAAGTTTATTAAAAAGTTTATTATGAAATTACTAAAAGTTTGCATCCGGTCTCATCTACTATAATTTTGAGGTTGTGAGGATATTGTACTTAAATAAATAAATAAATAAATAAATGACATGGTCTAAAACATATTAAGATTTCAGTGCTTAGTGTATGCGTTGAAGTTAGGGGCGATGGAGATCAAATTAGTATCGCTATGCAATGCGATATCCAGTGTGTGTTATGTTGTATTCCTTTAGACTGGAGAGTTGTTGCTAGTTGTTTGATTGTGTTTGGATACTCTCTAGTCTTGCTTCATAGTGCGCGCTCATGTAGGGGTTGACATTGGTTTTTGGAATAGTTTCGCTCCTATTTGCTATCGATAGAGCGGTTGGACTTGATCACCGACCGACATATCTTTGTTTCTCTCACGATGAGATAATAGTGATGATTAGTAGACCGCAAGAGTCTTCTTGCAGTGATGGAAGGTTAGGTTGTCCATACCCCATAGCTAGTAGGGCTAAAGAAGATTAGTGCGGGCACGACATTAGGTGGGGATTTGACAACGATGCAAGTTGAGGATTTGATCATCACGGAGCAGTTTGGTGGTCTTGGCAAGGACAATGATAGATCTACGCGGAGTGTATTGAGGTATTGTCTACCTGTATCTATCTCATCAGTTGGTGCAGAGTATCAGAGTGTTGCGGACACCAAAATCTTTGTGTTGATATTGTACAGTGTCACAATCCAATTGATTTGAGACATTGAAGGTATGTACGAGGCCATGAAAAATCCATGACGTTATCCTTGTGGAGTCAGCATCATTGAGGTTGGACGACTTCATTTAAGAGTATGATATGTGGTGTGATATGCAATTTTTGCACAACCCTATATTGTTTCACACCCTTCTTTGCATGGAAGTGGTTGTTTCATCATTTGAAAATATCTTCCATGGATGACTTTCATAAGTTTGGAAGAGACTATGCTATGGACATTAATGTTTGAAGATGTCATTGGTCTCCAAATTACATGTCTATTATCCAAGGTGGTGTTAGTACCGGTGGTGGAGGTGCGAGTAGCAATTATAGTGGAGGTATTCGTGAAGGTGCCAAGAGCGGTACTAGTGAAAGTATCGATGGGGATGTTTTTGAGCGAGTTGTGATACCTTTGTGTGTGTACGCTCTTCTTTTCTACATGTGTGTGTGTTGTGTGTAAGTATAAAATGTCAGCAATGTAGATTGTATGACGATTCGCATTCGCATGGCAGAGATCACGTTCAAAGGAAGAATTTAAGCAATTGCGGATCGATATGCCATTGATGTTTATATGGAGCTTGCCGTACATGGTTGAATTGGAGCCCTGCATATACATATGGACGGATTTTGGAATGATGTTTAATAGGACGTGCTGCAGTGGTTATATGGGGTTTGCCACGCATGGTTGAATTGGAAGCCTGGAGTAATATTTGGCCGGATTTTGGAATTATGTTTAGTAGTAAGTGCCGGAAGCATTAGATAGTCATTGAACAATTCGAGCAGTGAAATGTAAATGCTAAGTAAAGTTCACATTTAGTATGTATGAACAAAGGCTCGACTATACTAAGGATGCCGGAGTATGTGTAATACCGAAGGAACAAATTTTGATGCTACGGTAAGCTCTAATTTATAGGTCGAAAACTCAAGGAATAGGACGAATTCTTATCAATAGGCATGTGGAGACCTGGCAGCGACCAGGAAGCCGGACCACAAACCAAACCAGGTAAAGGGGGAAAACCTGGTTAGCGGGGCGACGATGGCTTGAGCGGAAAGCCGAAAATGAGGCCGCGGGAGGCGTGCAAATCCGGTCAGCCGAAGCAACGAACGGCGCGAGGAAAGTCCGTCGGCTGGCCGGACGTGAACTGGGGCAGCGGCCGGTCCCCTCTCGCGCAGAGACGACAGAAGGAGGAGGAGGAGGAGAGAAGGAGCGGAGAAGATGTTCTTGCGGGGAAGAAGCGAGAGGGAGCAGCAGGAGGAGGAGGAGGAGCGGGCCGGGGGTTCCTTCCTTCTTCCGTCTCGGGAGAGCAAGAGAAGAGGCGCAGAGAGAGAGAGCGCGAGAGAAGTAGCGTCCGGGCTCGAGGATGATGACTTGATCCCGAGCGGAGCAGATCACATCGCGAGGCACGCGCGGGGGTCGTCGGCATCGTGCACACGTCTGCGGGCACTCAGTCGGGCTGCCACGGACGGGGCGCTCGATTCGTCGTAGTCGGAGGGGGTGGGGTGGGGGAGCGTGGTAGATCTGCTCGCAGTGTGCGGCAGGCAGATCTGTTCAAGAGAGAGTCTTTACAAAGGAGGCTCGGAGCAGGGGGTTTGGTTTGCTGCGAGGATCTGGATGGCCTGCTTTTCGTCTAGAAGTCGGTCATCCGCATCCGCATCCGCTGCGTTCTTTTCATGGGAACTTCGCGCGGAGAGCTCCATCCTGGTGTAATATGCGCTAGTTTTCAACACGACGACTTGATCGATGACGGTGGCTGGTCGATTCTTCATCGAGTGAGCGAGAGCGAGACGCAGCAAAGAAGACCCCGGCAGCGCTGCAGTCGCGGACTACAGGAATATAGGAAGTGAATAATTCTAGTCAGCTGAAAAACCTCTTGAGGCTAGGAGTAGTTGAATGGCGTCAGCAGGAATGGGGACTCCGACAGCTACAGTATCGCCCCTTGCGAAGTATAAGCTCGTGTTTCTGGGTGATCAGTCTGTAGGAAAGACCAGCATCATCACCCGCTTCATGTATGACAAGTTTGACAACACCTATCAGGTATTCAATCTGCCCGCGGCCCCGAATGATGCTCCCTTCCGCTGTCTCTTCAATTTCTTAGCCTTCGCAGCTCTGAATGATTTAGATCCACGTTATTCGTCAGGATTCGTACGAGCTGCTGAAGGGACTTGCCTGCTGGACTCTGAAAACCTTTACCTCTGATGCCGATCTGGACAATTTCTAAGCGTAAGGAACGGGATGACACCGTTGACTCTATGACTGAATCTCTTAAGTCGCCCTTGATCCAAAAGTTTCTTTGCCTCAGTCGCTGCCTTAGATCTCTGATTTGCTGAACGCTGACATTTCTTTCTGAGGCCAAGTCCCCATTTCACCATCCTCTAAGACACCGATCTTGCCCACATGGTTGAAACTGCTACATGAATCAAGTGCGTGAATTAAGAGAGCATCTTAACCAAGGCGGACGAAAATAGCGACGTCTGTCCTAATGAATTAGGTCTTTGTAGCACCCTTTGGGCAGCATTGTGGACATTCGACGTTGTTCCCTGAATCTTTGAAACTGTTGGCTACATAGTTACTTTAGAACTGACGAATCCCAATAATGAAAAAACCCTTCGGAGAATCACGAACACGTGAATCTTCTAAAACCAGCCTCGAACTTTGAATCAAGAATATGGATTTGGTTTGTCTCTTTATGCGACTAGTAGCTGTTATTAACAGTTGTCAGCTTTGTTCCACCTTCAAGACTCAGGATTTAATCTATAGTCATGTAGGACAGCAGCAGCTGCTGCCGCGATCTCGTGGAAATGCTTCATGGGATACTATCCAGCGTCTTTTCTCACATTTTTCTCAATTGAAGAAACATGTATTCTCGAGGCTTTGTTGTCAAAGATCTGTGACCAGTCGAGCGTGGATGCTGTTTGGCTGTCCTGGTTGTTGCTCGACACTGGCTTTTTTTCCTTCGTCTAGTAGCTTTAATAGCTCATATTTCCTGTCAGGCTTTATAATGAGCTGCTTTTAAGCCCAAATTGTTGAGTTGTTCGTGAAGTAAGTATGAAATCAAATCTTTCCGAAAGAAGGGATTACTCATTGTCCTAAACGGATTCAGTTGCCATGATTTGGAATTTGTCATTTTGAGCTGCCTAGGTGATAGGAGGTTGTGTTTGGTCCTGCTTGCGATTATCCATTTTTGCTTTTGTTTCTGTCAGTCAGTGTGGCTCTTAATTGTTGCACTTGTCATACTTACACGTCTTGAGTATGTTTGTTGCAGGCCACCATTGGTATCGATTTTTTATCCAAAACAATGTACTTGGAAGATCGAACTGTTCGCCTCCAGCTTTGGTACGTCTTGTGCTGGTCATTAGCCTATTTTGAGACATGGAAACCATCATTCTTGAGTAGTACAGAATCCTAAGTCTGACCGCGTCCGAGGGCGACCTGTTGCACGAGATTATGAACATAAATGAATCGGACACTTTCCATAGTTAGTTAATGAAGCCGCTTTGCCTGTGTGTGATCTCAGGGACACCGCTGGACAGGAGCGATTCAGAAGTCTCATTCCCAGCTACATCAGGGATTCATCTGTGGCTGTAGTTGTTTACGACGTTGCAAGTAAGCCACATACCAAAACCACTTCGGGGTTGCTTCAAATGATGTCGCCTCATTTGTATGTTCCTTCGTGATCTGAGTATGAGGATGACGTCTCTTACGACACCGGGATTTTTGTTAAACGCATGTAACGAGGTTCCTGGTGACCTTCTTTTTTTGAATTCCTCGTACATTGGATCTCTATGAAAGGAAGAGGGCTTAAGCAAGGCATACATCACGCCTGCCATGTATTTCTGTTGACATGTTGGAACGAATCACCTGAGTGACCAGACCATGGATTTCCTTTCGTCAGTTTTGTGGTTTACAGGCGAGTTTAGTCTTCTTCACACATGTGTTTACTTCTTTCTTTGGTTTTCAGATCGACAGTCTTTCCTGAATACAGCAAGATGGGTAGAGGAGGTGCGCACTGAGCGAGGTAGTGATGTTATCATTATGCTGGTTGGAAACAAAACGGATTTGGTTGATAAGAGGTGCGTTTCTACAACTGGACTTACTTTGAGTAATGGTGGTCGGAGTTGTTTGAAAGTGTAGAGAATCACGCGTTCCTTCTCTTTCACTGTGCAGGCAAGTTTCCATCGAGGAGGGTGACGCCAAAGCGAGAGAATTCGGCGTTATGTTCATCGAGACAAGTGCAAAAGCGGGATTCAATATCAAGGTTTGTCCTTTGAAATTATTTTATTCTTGAAATCTTACCACATCGACGAAGACAATGATTAGTACGAACAGAAACTGCAAATAGAAACACTAGCTTTTCCGAGATCCGAGGGTAAATTGAACTTTCTACGGATGTCACAGGCTCTCTTCCGAAAAATAGCAGCTGCTTTGCCTGGGATGGAGGCTCTATCTTCTGCGAAACAGGAGGATCTAGTTGACGTCAACCTAAAGCCAACTCCAAATGCTACACAGGAACAGAACAAAGCGGGGGGCTGCGCCTGCTAATTTATAGGACAAAGGGTAAACTATGTTTGGTTTCATAGAAGTAGCTGTCTTCCATTTAGGCTGAATTCTTGTCTTGTCCTGTTGGTCGAGATAGATATACAGGTTACAAAAAAGTGGGGTTCAAGAGCACCATCTTTCTTCGGCATCCAGGTTGCACGTTAAGAAGTCAATCTGGTATTGCCCTATGAAGGAAGGCGTGTTGTTTATCCTGCGCGGGCAGTATGCAGAAATGCTTTTTAGGTGGTTTTACATTGATGACGGTCTCACACCGGGCTTCTGTTCTCCTTTTTCAGTGCTTGTGTTCTGTGCAGTGGGCTTGACTGTACACAGCAACATGTGCATTTGCTCTGGGTCATCTCGATGTCTAGTCATCTGTATATCATATTGTAATGTGATAGAGGTTTGTCACACCATTGATAGCCATTTTTGCTTTCACTTGGGATTGAGGGTACTGGCCATTTGAAGAGTTTGAATAATGACGATGAGAAATGATTTGATGTCTGGATGAGGTCAATTGTGATGGAAAGGCTGAGTGTGTGTTTTGGCTCATAATGCCAGGCAGATGTCGGATATCCTCTATATCCATATTGTGATATGAAATACGCAGCAGACTTCGTGACACCAACATTCAAGGCCTGTCAATTTTGGGTGGATCTGTGGATGTCGATACATAGTTTTCAGGTTCAAGACGGTTGGAAACCTCAGTGGTGAAAGTCGGTGTCGCTAGCATAGACGAGGCTAGTGAGCAAAGTCAGCGAGTAGTAAATGTCAGATGTTGAAGAGAAGGTGGTCACTACATAAATTCGGAAGTCAATTGGAAATCACCATTTTTCAGGATGATCCGAGGTTTCAACTTTCTGGAGGCCTAGAGCTTGATGGTTGATGTCTCCAGTCAATCCCAGGTCGATTTTTTATCAGGGATCTGGGTGTACAAGATGTTGTATCGTACGTATGTAAATTCTGTCTTTGCAATCAAACCTGGTATGTCTTATCTTCTCAAAGTTCTCTGGTACTGGTTAAATGCCCTCTTTGCTGCCACGAGACGTTTTGCGAGGTAGTATCTCGGTCTCCTTTCTGGAGTTTCCGGTAGCTACCTGTCTTTGTTATATGTATTGTTCACTTATTCTGCCATCTTTCATTTCCTTCAATCGATCATCGCCTCTTCACTCCACACAGTATTGTTGACACTGTGTGGAGAGTGTGTGGTACATTTTCACGGTAGGGATGTGGATTTCGATTGTCTCCTTATTGAACATTTGGTAGATACAGTTTTGCTAGCCAGTACTGTTGGGCTAATCTTCAGTTTCCATAATCCACTGTCCTGGCATGTGCTTGCTTCTACTCTGAAACTGGGCACATGTTCACATTTCTATGTGGAGTGCTGTCTCCTTTAGTTTTGTTTTGAACCGTATAACACCTAGGTGCTCCTGCAAGTCCTGGGGACCTGAAAATGAGGCGAGTCCAAGTGTTTGGTGGTGAAGTTTGCACTGGAGTCCATGAAAGATTCCTGGTGTGGTTGAAACTGGGAACTGCAAATTAGGGAAATTACTGCACCCAGACAAAATCTTCTGTTTCCTGGACAAAATTGTAGATACTCATCTATCCCCAACGCCGATTAACAATACAGAGTGAACTTCATTGATTCTGGCTTGCAATTCTGTCTCACCATACGTAGGGGGTATATATATTCAGGGGTTCAACCATGCGATGGAAAGAGATGTTTTGACGCACTATGGCAATCTAGAAAGGCACACTTGCAATACAGCAGGACGTACACAAAATTCATAGAATCCTCTGCGGAAGCTACCTGTATTCTTGTGCAGGGCAGTTAAACCGATTGGACAGATGCGATTATAATCAATTCGTAAGTATGAATGAGTATCAGAGCCATTGAATGCGTCTAGTGAAACGATACTATCTTCTCTCAATGCCCAGCGGAATTATCACCATACGTCATATCTGCCGAAGAAACGTACGAGAGTGGTCGTTTGTTCCGGAATAGTTATTGAAACCTACACGAAGTTCTGAGATCAAGGAGCAGTCGAACACCAGTTCTAGACCATTTTGTATTTACTTTTGATCACAGGTTGGCTTCAGTTAACATGTCACGAGACGGGTCAGAGAAGAGTGCCAACACCGCAAGGTTACGCTAAAGACCTATCGTCGAAAAACGGAAATTTATCGTGAATGTTTTCATACGACTGTTGTGTTCCCTGTGATGCAGATGTACTTGAATGCGCAACTTGTGGACAAAGATCGTTTTCCAAACTCGTTAACCTCTTGAACTTCTGGAAAGAACGAAAGTCCTTCCGGACAGTCCACACACATCATTTGTTGGCCATCATTTTTTGGTGTCAATTGCTGGTTGAAAACTATTTCCATAGGGTCAGTCACCGTCGGAAGGAAGCACCGGAATGTGTGTAACCAGAACTCGATCCCGGAGAAACAGGTTGGTGATATATGTGCAGTACTGTACTGGTAGCCTGGGCTGCCATCTTATAGTCAACTCACCTCGGAAGGAGGCGAACCAGAACTCGATGCTAGCGTAACAAACAGGCTCCTTCCTTCCGTCGCATCCCACTCCAGGAGCGACGTGCAGATACAAAGGAGTGACTGCAGCTAAAGTAGCCGGCAGTTTAGAATGGCCTCCGCTTTAGCGGGACCGGTAAGTTGGCCGAGGCGGGGCTGGGGAGGCAGGTCTCGTTCGGGAGCGAGGAAGAAGGAGCAGGAGGAGGAGAAGGTGGCGCAAAGAAACATCGGCGAGAGGAAAATGGAAAGGGAAGCAGGAAGAGTAAGAGAGGAAGAGGAGGTCTTTTTATTCTCGACTGCTCTTCTAGAATCATCTTCGGAGATTCCGCTTTTCAATTGCAGGTTTGGAGTGCGCCGAATTGTGTGCCACATGATCCGCATCACGCGCAGCTTTTGAGCTCAACAGGAGCGAGAGTTGGGCCCGTCGCGTTTGGGAAATTTGGCGGTCGAGGGTGGGCTGGATCAGCATTTGTTCCGCTCTGAGCTGCTGCTGCGGTTGCGCAGTAGTTGTTCCGTGCACTGTCTGTGTATGCGGAGGAGTTTGGATCTTGTTCCTTGATCGTCCGCCCCCGTGTGCACTGACTGTCGAGGCGGCGGGTGTGCCTCTGCAGCCAGTGTTTTGGTCCCGAAACTATGTCTCGTGTTCCGTGGCGCCGCTCTCTGCGTCTCCTGCAGCGGTGCTTAGATTCATCACGCACTCCCTCTCTTCAGGTCCGTGCGAGCTTCGCCTCTCGATTTCCACTTTAGGGTTTCTCGCGTCCAATTCGATGCAGAATTCGGGGCTTCACTCCGCCTCCTTGTCGGGAACTTGCTGGATCTCGAATTTTGATTTTGTTCGTTGTAGTGATTCGCTGGGAAATCGGAGACAATCGTGAGATGGTGGAATATTACTGGTCTGGGTTCTAGTATTTGAGCTTGCATTTGTCCTCAAGGTCGCAAGAGAGACGGATGATCATCACGACAAATTCGGGCAGAGTAGGTTTGAGTGATGTGGTCGAGAAGAATGTTTGGCTCCCGTTGCAGATTTGCAAATGAACTGGGTTGGCCGGAACGTTTCTGGCTTTCTGTTAGCTTACCCAAAAGAAGAATTCGTTCTGAGTGGAAGCTCTGTTAATATTCACGAGCTCGTCTGTTTTGTCTGGATGCACTGAACTGGCTCGTTTGTGACGCTCTGTGTGAATTAACTTGAATTTCAAGTAGCCCCTCGGGACATGAGTGAAGAGAGACTGTAGAGTCAGAGTACGTAGAGATCAGAATGTAAGAAGCTGTACTCGATGCTATCAAGTAAGGAAATGCACAAGTAAGAAAATTTATACGAGCCGGACTGCTTTCAAAGCATGCCCAGTGAGCAGATTCAAGCAGAACATTTCATCCAAATTGGTTATTACGAATGATGAATCAAAATATCTCATTTTTGTACGACGTAGGGTTTTTTTTTCTTTCCACCGAAGCGCTTACAGGAAGTTCAGGTTGTGTTTTATAGTGTACACATCTAAAAAAAAAAGCAGTGCTGAAAATTGGGTATTCGCGTCGACTGTTGATCGTGAGCAGGATGGATTACCTAAGTCAAACGCCATTGATTGGAGGCCCAGGCAATCGCGAAATTCATATCATGCATTCGCCACGAATCCCTTATCTTCCAGTCTTGGTAACATTCACGTTCTTTAATTGTTGCGTTGAGGTGCAGAAGTTATTGCCACAAAGTAGTGTTTCCTAGGGGTGGATTCCCATAGTTAGTCGTCTTTTGGTTTCTGAGCACAGACCAGATTGATATTCTGAATATTCTGTGGTGGTTTAGTAGGCAAGGTCCGGGTCTATTGGAGAGGCAAGCCAATGGATTCTAGATAAATCTTATGTCTGAAGTGGCCTGTAATTTATTTTCATATTGAATATTGTTTCAGGCGGGTGTAGTTGCTTCCACTGTCAAGGCAGTTTGTTCAAGGAGAAGAAGCTTTTCACATCTAGCAGAGGATTTCACGCAACGGGTAAGAAAAACGTTGCGATTGGTCTGACTTGTTGCTTCGGCCTCTCATGACCCTAGTGGCTAACGCTGTTTATACCATTGAACAGAACTCATGTGACTCCTCTTGAAATTGATTGCCCCTTTCAGATCGCTACAATCTTGATTGCGGGTTACCACATTTTACCACGATATCATCAAGAGAGATGTAACTCTTTTGGTTTCCGATTCAAACATTATACTTCTGCTGGATTCTAACTGCGGATGTTGTACAATTGATTCGTGATCCTAATTAACTATCTTACCCAGACGAAAGCTTGAAAACCTTCATTGCTCCCTATTTTGAGAATCCGTTTTAGTGCATATCACATCGAGACTGTAATTGAGCTGACGTTGAGTGAAATCGCACATGAATTAGACCTGTTCTGGAGAGGACTTTTCTGATAGTGCCCTCTCCCGGTGTTCATCGTGACTCGATATCGTATCAGAGTCTGTTATTGTTGTATCGTGATTCTGTAGTTTCTCTTTCAGTCATGTGAATGACATAAATCGTGTGATTGTCAGGTGTTCAGCATATGAGCAAAAGAGATTTCTACGAGGTTCTTGGTGTTTCGAGAGGAGCTAGTGGGCCAGAGATTAAGAAAGCTTACTACGCCGTACGCGCTAACCACTGCCACACGTTCATTACTTTCCGTGTTTCGCTATGTGGTCTGGTTTTCTAGCATCTTCTTGGTCTGCTTACATTTCAAAGTGCGCTGCGTCATTGCACTTGCTTTGATTTCGAACCTACTCTGCCACTGCTACTCTATTCTACTCTAGCACTGGAATTTACAATCTCAATTCGTATGTTTTTACTTTCTTTCAGCTTGCAAAAAAGTACCACCCGGACATGAATAAGGGAGATGATAAGGCCGAGGAGAAATTTCAGGAAATCCAGCATGCATACGAGGTGAGTGATTCTCGATAATATGCTCCCACGCTCGGATAATTCATGCCTCCGAAGGACGAATGTATTATCTTTTCAGGGTTCAGGCTATTGTATTAAAGTATTGAGATTTGTGTTTACTGTGACTTGACTAGTGTTTATAACGTATTTGGCCGGTCGGAGGGAAGTTTCATTTATGTTCTTTCTAGATATCTCAGGGTGAAATAACATCTATAGTACCAACTTTTCTCTTCTGCAGGTTTTGAAAGATGACGAAAAACGATCGGTTTATGATCAGGTATGGAAACTTTGCACTCTTGTTGATAATCGTCATCACCTGCCGACTTATCATGCGTCATTTCGGAACCTTTTATGGGAATTAGTCATAATTAGTTGTGTTATTTTAAAATTTCGCTCTCCTGATTGGAAGGTGTTTTGTATCTTGGTGTATATGGCGTCAAGTCATTTGGGGTCAAATTGTACTTATGTATGTATTCGTTCTCGTTTTTCCTCATCTAGGTGGGCCCTGAGGCTTATGATGCAGCTGATGGAGGAGGACGAGGTCCTAGTGGGTTTGAAGGGTTCGATGGGTTTGGAGGATTCGACGTTAATGAGGTAAGAACGTCAAGTCATGTTCTTGCACTAGTTGCGGCTGTCAAAGCTTGGATGGGCTGCACTACGTGTTCTCCTCCTTTTTTGTCGTTCTGATGCTTCTTTGTATTCTATGTATTTTCTATCATATTTACAGGTTCTGAATTCGTTTTTCGGAGTTCAACAAGACGGTCGAAGATCTACTGTGAAGGTATACTTTTGGTTCAAGTCGATGTAATTTATCAGTGGATCAAACGATTGATCGTGATTGGATATATTTAAGAATAAATGGACTTATGGTCGATAAGATCAGCAACTCTTATCGGGTGGAGTTCGTGATGCTCATGATTTCGCAGTCAGGATCCATTTTTCTTTCTTGGAAAATTTTTCAGCTCACATTTAGCCTGCTTCAGCAGTTGGCTCTTAGTGTTCAGCCCTCTTAGCCATTTAGTGTTGGACGCGGGGCCGTATGTCTAATATAGGAATGCTTTGAAATGAAGATGAGAGTGATATCGAAGCAATGTCTTTTCAAGTCGATAAGTCACTCGATAAGTGTTTTATAATATTGAGCTTACATGAGTTGCTAGCGCATTAAAACTCCCGCCACAAGCCCATAAAAGACTGCTTGTCTTGCTTTACAGGTCGATCTTGACTTGTCTTTCAAAGAAGCTGTTCTTGGTTGCACAAAAGAAGTGTCTTTTCAAACTCGCGCGAGGTGCCGACCTTGCAGTACGTTCCTTGCCCATTACTGCAATATTGTCTTCGTTCAATGTCTAAATTGCATGTTTCTGAATGCGTTTTTTTCCTGTTTTTTTCCATAAGAAGGGAATTGCATATAGAGCAGTTGTAAGCGTTACCGAATGTGGTTCTGTCATCTCACAAGAGCCGTTTTGTTGTCCCAGACGGCACTGGTATACCTGCTGGAGCCAAAGTACGTGCATGCCAAGGATGTGGAGGGGCTGGAAAGGTGTGTTTTTTACTCATCTGCAATCGAATCCTGTATTAGAGGGATGCGTGAATTCAACCAACGTAGTTCTTATTGTGAAAGAGGGTACAAAGTTATGCAGCTTTGGATACATAACTGGATCTCATTTGCTCGGCCATTGGGCTACCAGATCAGGTACAAACAAGGATGGATTGCGTTGGAGTCAACTTGTGAGATGTGTGGTGGTACGGGCAAGTTCACGAAGGTAAGTTCTTTTTGGTCTATCTCTTTGGGGAAACCAGTTCTTGGATGTCGTTTCCCTATATGTGTTGATCCGGTGGATTTTTTGTCGACGTCTTGTGGCTTTTCGACAGCATAGATTTGCTGATTATGCCATATAAACTTCGCAGGAGAAATGTTCTAGCTGTCGAGGTTCTGGGACTGTGAAGGCCGGCAAACAAGTCGTTGTGACTGTTCCTCCAGGTATGGGAAAGTTTTTCTACTTGAGGAAGTTTTCAATGAATTTGTTGAAACGTCCAAAGTTGTATATCTTCTGTCGCATTGTCCTTGTCATCTAAAGTGGTGATTTGATCCTTGAACGTGCGAAGTAAAACCGGATGTCTTGTTGAACTCACCCAGTTTATTATGTCTCAAGATCAAGTCAGATGCGTGTTGTAAGGCTGTAGCTTCGGTCAAAACATCAGTGTCATACCCAAAATTCCCTCTTCATAGCCGTACACAGACCATTTCTGACATATACATCGTATGTAGGCGTGGAGAATGGAATGTCCCTGAAGATCCAAGGAGAAGGAGGTGCCGGTCCTGCAGGGTCGCGATCGGGAGATCTATACGTACAATTACGGGTAAAAATAACGGCTCCCATTATACTCGGAAACATTTCATCTATAGTTGTTACTTGCAGGAGTACAGCTAACGCAGCGGCCAGTTTAGTGTCCTGTTTTTGCTCCACGACTGAAAGTCACACAAGCCGACGTCCAAGATATTTTTTCGCTATTAACTACTTTGGATACGTGTTCTTCTTCTTGACTTATTATTCTGCCCAGATCTCCCCTTTGTTGCTTGCATCATTTATTCTAGTATTGCTTCAAATATCACAGCAAGGAGTCGATAGTCCTCAGGCTACGATTGGCGAATAGTTACTGTAAATACTTGGTGCTTCCTGATCAGAATCTAACAAAGGCTTGAAATGTGTTATTTGCATTTGGACAGGTGGCTGAAGACCCTATATTCAGAAGAGAGGGTGCAGATATCCACCTCAACACCTCCATCAGCTTTACCCAGGTGCATGTTATTTCACGTAAAGTGTCTGAATTGAGATCGTATCAACGCGCTGAGCGGAAACACTGTACTTATATGAAGTGGCTGAACTCAGACCTTGCAGTTTTTAAGACATGTTTTTATAATTTTGGCCGTAAATTGAGCGGTCTCATATCCTGTTTAGCTTGATCTGATTGATACTTTTGTCGCGGATGTTTGGCACTGTTGAAGTAAGTAGATTGGTTTTCAGGTGGTTGGAGGGCAAGAGGGAGTGGGGTACAATACAATTTTATGTGAATGAATGTACGTTGTGTGAAGGCTTCTCCTTGGACATGATTTTTACGTATTGGGTAGAACGAACTCATCCTATTGCTCTGGTCCTCTTTCTAATCACTAACTGGACTGTTTTATGCTCGTACAGGCTATCCTTGGTGGTGAAGTTCAAGTACCAACCTTGACAGGAGATGTATCGCTTAAGGTACGTAAAACAGGAAGACTACGTGTCGAATTCTTCTGTCCGTAGTGCCGCGTTGCAAATATGTACAAGGGTTTCTGGGCATGTGTATATATCAACACAGTGATCGAACATTCAGATAGCTTGTGGGTATCATAATTCTGGATCTAACCTTTCGATTCGGTCGTCACAGGTTCGCCCCGGGACACAGCCAAATCAAAAACTTGTTTTACGAGGAAAAGGTGAGGACTAAGACACAGTGATCACTTTCCAAGCATTCCGCCTCGCAGTAGTAGAGCTTCTGCATCTAGAGCAGCTATCAAAACTGAAGGATGACGTACTGCAAAAGTGTTCCGCTGGTGGTTGTTGTTGAGTAGTCGGTGATCTTTATTTGACAACGCATAGAACTCACTCAATTTGAAACTGCGTATCCATTGTGCAGGAATTAAGATGCTCAACTCTAAGCATTATGGAGATCAATATGTTCACTTCACGGTTGTTATCCCTGTGTAAGTATCATGTAGACCTGTTACACTGAACGTTTATCCTACTTACTCTCCATAATCAATGCTGCCCAGTCAGTTCATTACGACGATCATGATCTCGTTCAAAGTTTGCTTCTAGAATTTTTTATTGAATGACAATTTCAACTCTGTTCAACTGCAGGAACCTGTCTTTAGAACAACGTAGACTTATTGAGGAGTTTGCCAGGGAGGAATCTGGTGAAAGTGACAAAGTGGACAATGCTGCGGAGGGAAGCGGATAAAGTATTTATCACAGCAAGTGATTATTTGAGAAGAAATTGCCCCTAGTCGGCTTGTGTCATACAGCAGGACTCACAGGTCCGTCGAAATTTTGCAGTTTCCTTTGAAGCACTTCAAAGGCTTAGTGGTGAGCAGTGAACGCTTTAGAAATTATTCTGTACATATTGGAGGAAGAATGCCACCAAATTCCAGTACTGTTCTAGGGGTGAGGTTGGGTCGGTGTCGTTTAAGGCTTTAGTTTCAGTTTTAGTATGGGGTCCTTTGAAGGTTGTATCAGAATGTGATGGCAATTTAGCAGTAGAAGGGAGTGGAACGTACGAGACAACGGGGATTTATCAAGCTATCTTAGTATCTGGCACCTGGTACTAGAACTTCCCACTGTTCGTCTGTCGCATGTACTGGATATAGTTCACCAGCCGAAGATGCAGAAATAATACTGCGCTATGCAGAATCTTGCCGAACGTCAGCATGCTTCCTAGCAGGCATTAGGCCAGCATCGGATGGGCGGACGTTGTAGTATGGTAGAGGCAACAGCACTGGATGAAGATTTCTGTCCTATGTTTTGAGACAGCACTCTTTGCCAGCTTTTTGACGAGTACAACAATTATTTGGAACCACTAGCCTTTTAGATATCAAGTCATCTCACAAGTTTGTGAGATTGGCGCTTACATTTGACGAGATAGCCAAGGGCTGCTCCTAAGCATCAGTCCTTGTGATTATTAGGGAGTTTACTTAGTCCTGCCCAAGATTCGTGAGGTAAGACATTTATTATGGAAGAAGAGAAATCATCACGATCGCCTTCCTTAAGCCCAATTAGGGAGTTTTATCGGGTGATATTGTTCTCTTTCGTTGGCATTGTTAGTGCTGAAATGCATCTATGCTTGTACTTATTCTCGTCACTTCTCTCGAGATTTTTACGAGTCTTGCAGATTATCTTCAAAGCATTTCTTCTCCCTCCATATATTTTTAGATATGTATAACAATCGGAACACAACGTGGAAAGCTTGTGCGTAACCACGTTAACAGATTTGTCTGTGTGCGGAAGCCCATGATATAGCTGTTGAGTTGTCTATATATGGACCCTTTGGATACAAAAGGTATTTTTTCATCATTGTAGTCTACTCTTTGGTTTCTTGTTCTTTTCCTTGTAGGGCTTTATGGGGGTTCCCGTCGTTTTTGCTATCCACTGGTCCCTCCCGTTTTGTATCCGAAGTGAGATTTTGGGTACAAAGAACAGTGACTAGGTGTTCTTTGCCGACTTCAGTGCTTTGTACCATGGACACGACGTAAAAACTGACGGAATACTCTTCGTTACTTGGTTTCCTTCCAGTTTCATTCACTTCACAAGTAATCGAGTTCAAACTTCTTGATGATTAGTTATGTTGTGATTATCATCCGAAAAATATATGATCTGTAAGCTGTAAAACTTACAATGTCCCAAATCGTTTGTCAATTGCTTCTATCTCTTTTTCAACTATGCGTGAGTCCTTTAGATAACTACGGGAAAGGGAAATGACTTTCGAATGGTACACAGTTTGTAGGATATTCACACAATCATCTATGGCGCCGTTTCTTTACTTCTTTCTATATTGAACGGAAAAAGGTATTCAGTATCCATTGAAGGATATTTGACTTTCTTAACATTCGATGCAATTGATATATCATCAAAACCTGATGTTAACATACAGTTCGTAAATGCAAATATACAGTTCGTAAATGCAAATTGACGCACAGAAATGAACATACATATAATAGAAATTTGAAAATCAAGAAAGGTAATCTATTAGCATTAAACAATTATTTGCATAAGTTATCATAAGGGTGCAAATGTTATCAATGTCGACTTATGAATATCTGTAATAAATTATTTTTCTCTGCTGTGTTTTTTTTCAAAGTCTTGAGAAACGCTATGCATATATTTTGTTGCAATACAGTTTTCTCTATATTGAGTATTTTCATTATCAATAAAAAGTAGAAATCCGTTTTTATCGATTGATGTTTTTTGTCTAAGGAAAACGTATATAAGGAGCAACATAATTTCCTAATTGAATTATATGTACATCTATTTAATGTTTAAAGTTGATGATATAGATATAAGAAGAGACGAAAAGTGATTGAATCTTTTTTATTCGCATTTTGAAGGTTTGGATAACACTTTTTAGTTACTTGAAATTTTACATATGACTATGTTTTTAAATTTTAAGTAGTAGATAATGTTCTCACCACTTCATTATGAAGCATTTTCCGGAGAATTCATACATAAAAAATACTTGATAGGTCTTAAACGATGTTTCTTATTTTCATGGAACAAAAAATCGTTTTACTAAATATTATAACTAATAAGAAAAATTTCTTATTAACTTATTTATCTAACGCATTTGAAAAAATCTATCTAATCACAATTGTATCAAGTATAAGATTAAATTGAATCATAATGACATTATATTTGAATAATGTTGTAAAGTTGAATATAAATATTCATACTTTACAAAAATTATTATGAAATAGGTAATTATTTTGGGTCCAAACAGTAATTAATTAGAGTAAGGTCTTAATCAATAGTATAAAGTGAAATGATATAATTGATGATAGTCACGTATGCTTTTATGCAAAATTGCATTATAACACAATGTTATTATTTTTCTTGAATGTAATAATTTGATTCATGCATCAGCTGGATTGATTTTTATTGTGATTTTTTCATACAAATTACTATGATAACATGCATCAATTCATTAACTGTGAATATGAAATTTCTGATTTAGATAAAAGAATGGTAAAGCTTAGCGATAGAGACAAAATAACTGAATCTTGACAAGGTTTAATAAGTATTAAAGAATCAACATGAATATCAGATTCCAATAGATGGTACTTTACAATTAAAAAGCATGATTCATAGATGAAATATTATAAAATCAAGTAACGTGACTGAAATGTCTCAATCTTTAGATCTCCATAAATTGCTTTGACATTGTGTCTAATCAATAAATCATTTTACGACAATTTTTGTAGCAAGATTTTGACTCTTCTAATCATATAATTTTTTCCACGTTTATATTTTCATTAGTTTGCATACTTGAATTGGAGAAAGTAACTTGTTTTAATAATCAATCTATGAATATTCAACTGTGATAGTTTTTGATAGTTCGATATGAATATATTGTTATTGAAAACTCTTATAGAGATTACATTGTAAATATTTTTTATTTAAAAAGTAGTTTTAGTTATAAATTAGCCGATTGGTTTTTATAATTTCATTTGTAACAAGTTTCAAATTTTTATTTAGAATCATTTTGTAAAATACACTTTTTTTTACTCATATTATGGCTATATAATTCATATTGATTACAATCATACATTTTAATATGATTAAAGTTTATTTTAGTTTAACTAAAGATCAAAATAAGTGTGAAGGTTGGCAGCACATTTCAAACTTTATCTAGCATAATTTATTACCGGAAGCACAGAGAATGAAAAAAATTAGAAAACACAAGACAACAGACTAATATGTGGTTCATCCAAGCTTGAACTATGTTCACTGGAAAAATCAATTTTTTACTCCAAAAACTAACACAAGTGTTGAGTTGTTCAAGTCAAGATGTGTTTGGACTTCCCATATTTATAATTGTTAGCTGAAGCTCTAGTATTAAGTCTAAATGGGCAACTAACTCTCAAATTAAACTCAAGTTAACCTAACTCAAGTTCTAAATCCTGTAGGCAATCCCATATTTGCATGTATCGTTGTTTTTTCTTGTGTGAGGGTTGTCTCTTATTGTCAATTTTTAATTGCTATCAATTCTTGGTGCTTCTTGTAACAAATGATATAAGAACGATCACTTTTTTTCCTCTCTGTCTTTGTGCATTTGTATCTTTTGGAATGGCAAGAGCTTGTTGATCCTTGTGACGTTGAGAAAGTTGATATCTTTAAGAGTGAAAGCCGAAGCAGAAAGTTGATCAATGTGCTTTGCAAAGCGTGAGTCAAAGGACGTAAGTTTTCGCCTTATAAATGATGGCGGAGTATACAATGTGTTGCGATGATCACATGCAGAGAAGAAATCATAATGGAGAGCTGATGATTGTTTACTATCGAGCAAGATGAAGCTTAAGGGTCAAGATTGAAAATAAACAAAAAAACCTTATGTGTCAAGTTATTGACAATCATAAATTTCAATCAAAATTTGAACTGTTCGGAGAATGTATTCACACATTGTACAATATCAATCTAACCCTCGCGTTAGGTATATAACATGCTATCATGAACAAAGTCTTGGAGGAAAGGTTCATGAGTTGTGTCTGTGTTGAATTACAACTGATCATGAATTGAGCTAAGCCGCTGAGAAGAAGATATTGAAAGAAAGTTGTTGTTGACGTATCCGTAGATCATGTAGTACGAAGTTGATTTTCTGTGCGGAGAGTTACGGAATCAATTGCATGGTGCGTGACACACGAACAAGCATATTCTGAGGCATAAATGAGATGTCTGTCCTCCTAGGAAGGAGACATCCAACGAGAGTAAGCATATGAAGAAGCATCGTGAATCTTCTAGAGGAATCAAATTTTAATCAACCTCTGCTAAATTTGTAAGAAGTTGTAGTAATCTAATCTGTTGATACTTCTCATTGCCAGGAATTCGTGCTCAATCGAATTGGGGCAGATCGACAAGAGGTGATGGAGGTTATTGCGGTCAAAGAGTGCAACAATCTGCGAACATGCGAGGCCAAGGTGGTAGATTACAGAATCAAATGAGCATGTGAGGCGACAAACTAGGCCATGTGGCAGAAGTTGAAAAAATTCCAAATTCAACTAACTTTGGACAACTACCAAACATGCTTCCAATTCTGTTTCAAACTCACAAGTTGTGCAAAGTTACCAAACTTGTGCAAACCTGTTTCAAACTTGCAAACCTTAATGTTGGACGAAGACGGATGGTGATGAAAAATTGGTTGTTGACCATTGATTGTCGTCGTTGACCATTTGCATATCTCCTTCTAGGATCTCAAGAACCGTTGGAGACCTCTTGGCAAGGTTAACAAATGAATGAAAAAAAAGATTATTTTCACTCAAACACTTCCTATCACATCTTCAAGCACTCGTCGGAACGAGATATCAACCACTAAGTCTGCAAGAGTAGGTTACGACATTGTCAAGTACGACGGACATGATGACTATGTGCTTTGAGAGAGTTAGGTGAAGGGGAAGTTGGAAGCAATGGATCTTGGCAAGATGTTGAGATCAACTCCGTCCAACTTCAACAACAACAACAACTAAAAGTACCTATAGGAACATGTAGTAAGCATTGTCATACTTCAAATATAACATTTGGTTTTGAAGCAAGTGAATGAATATGACAAATGCACTCAACGGGTTGAAGCTTTAGAGTGACAATTTCATTGCAAAGAATTGTCACATAGGCTAAATGCTTTCTTGAAGTTGATGAACTTCAAGATAAAAAATTATAACATAAAGATCCAAGATCACATTGATGCATTTGATGATCTTGTTATTGATCTTGAGAATCTTGGGAAGAAAATATCTGATGAAAGGAAAAGTTCTTCATTTACTTGGTTCACTGCCAACATCGTATAAGTCATTATTATGTATTAGGCTTCATTGAAAGAGAAGAAAAATACTATTTATCTCATCACATTTTATATTTTGCAAGAAAATGCTATTTTTGAAAGACTTAATCGAACCGTGTTGAAGAAGTGCGTAATATGTTGAACCAATCTGGTTTTCTATATGAATTTTGCTTTGAAGTTATCATTACCGTACTGTAGTATATTTCAATTATATTTAAAGTATATTTATGTCTAGTGCAATCAATTTTTTGACACCGTTTGGATTGAAGCACAATTGTATGGCTGATTATAGTCGTTTGAGATCTTTTTATTGTACTCCTTATTCTTTCATACTTAAAAACAATAGGACTAATTTAGTTCCTACATTCAAAAAGTGTCGTTTTTCTTGAATATGCTAGTGGTGTGAAAGGTTGTAGACTCTAGTATCAAGTAGTAGATAAGTGTAAATAGGGATGTTATTTTTAATAAGTTCATATCATTGGAAGAGAAGAAGAATTCTCGGGCTGCTCATATTGACAAGAAAAAATTTCCATTGACAGATGATGTTGAAGGAGAGATTAATGAAATGAGATTAATGATGTGACACAAGAAGAGTCTCAGGTACAGATGAAATAAAGAAGGTTACTGTTGAATAGCCTAAAATATGATGCATTAGAGGATAGAAATTGAACAAAATTAATTTACTAAAGGATTATCGAATCATGTTAGTAGAGCTCATGAAAGATATGATTTATGTACTGATTCATACATTCTTGAAAAATGTGACATTGATATAGAGAATGATGATGACATTGGATTGATCTTGGAAAAAGAGTACACTTTTTTTTATAAAAAAGCTCAAACTTTTGGCAATAAGTTTCAGTGAAATGTTGCTATGGAGCATGAGATGAGATGTAATCAATGATTGATATCATTACTGGGAAGCCAATTAAGTTTACTAAGAATTAGAACTTGATTGATTGAAAGTGTATGTACAAGATGAAAGACAATATTGCAGGAGACAATAAGATTATCTTCAAAGTCAAGTTGATGGCTAAAGGTTTCATACAAGAGATTGGTGTGGACTATAATAAAGTTTTCTTAACTGTAGCAAAATTTGCTATAATGCGTTTGGTATGTGCGCTCATTGCAATATTTAGTCTTGCTATTAATTAAATGAACGTAGTTATAACATTTCTTTATGAATCAATAGAGTAGAAAATTTGCATGAAAAAAGAGATCAAACAAAGCTGGTTTGTAGATTGGTGAAATCATTATAAAAATTGAAGCAAGCTCATAGGCAATGGAACGCAAGATTTGATGAGTTCATGAAGCCATAAGATTTTTCAAGGAGTGTGCATGATATTTGTATATACATGAAGAAGATAAATAATAAGATCTTCAATTTTTTATTTCAATATTTTATGTGAATAACATATTCCTCTTGATTAAGAATCAATTCGACGTTGATAGATGCAAGAATCAGTTGAAATCTTCATTCAAGATAAAGTATTAGGATGACTCAAATAGTATATTAGGGTTGAAAATTCATAGGTATTCAATGAAGAAGAATTCATGATGTACTCAAATCAAGTATGTCTCACGTATATTTGACAGGTTCAACATGAAAAACTTTGAAGAAGTATTTACTTTTTTGACATCTCATTTCAAACTTTTTGTTGAGGAAAAAAATGTGATTTTTTTTCTATGACGAAACTATGAAGAGCTTCATGTATTTGATGATATGTGTACAAGGCTTGATATTGCTAACGATGGACATGGTGAACATATACATGTTGAATCTAGAGAAGTTTCACTAAGAAAGCAGTAAAATGAATTCTTAGTTATTTAACGCATATTAATGATAATGATTTATTATTTGATGATTTATTGATACAATGTCAAATTCATGTTAGGTTACATTGATGTTGACTATGAACAAAATCTAGACTAGAATAAATTTACAATTGGATTTGTGTTTACATTTGGTGGTGGATGCACTAATTAGAGATCTACTCGAAGAAATGCATAGCCGAGTATATGAAATAGCAGAAGCAACAAATTAAGCTATTTGGTTGGATAATCTTATCAAAAAGATGAGATTGAAACCAGGAGTGATCAATCTTGATTGTGATAATAAGAATGCATTACATCTTGCTACAAAACAAGTGATCGACAGCATAATGAAGCACATGAAATGAGGTATCACTTGATTAGACATGCATTTTTTTATAAAAGTATTGAACTAATCAAGATTAACGGTAAATTCAATCTAGCTGAAACATTGATCAAAATTATTCCTTTGGAGAAACATAGAAGGCGTGCTACTAGGCAAGTTTTGCATGAGAATCACAATTACCTCTATATATTTAAATTCTATCATGTTTTGATTATGATTTAGTTCTAATTAATTCTTGTTTAAAGAGTGATTTTTTTGTTAAATTTCATTCAAGTACTTTTCATTGAATAATTATACAGGTTAATAAGGTTATTGTTGCTCAACATGAATTAAGAGCGAGATTGTTAGGGTTAATTCAAGCTCTTAGATAATCTAACTTGAGTTGTAGTGTTAGTTGTCCTGTTATAGATAATCATGCGGCTTCAGTTGGCAGCTATAAATATGGAAGAAGTAGACACATATCGCCTTGAACAACAAAACACTTGTGTTGGTTATGGGAGTAAAGTATTAGATATTATCTTGAACGTATTCAAAACTTGACGGATCATGTATTTGACTATGTCAATTTTATCTTATGTGATGATTGTGTATTGTCATTGGTTTTATATATTTTTGTTGATTCTTGATGCTTATGTGACAATGAGCATTACCTATATTTTATGATGAATAAACTTGAATCAATAATTCATTTTAAATATTTCTAAAAATCTTTATATCTATGTTTGCAATTTTTTGAAATTATCAAAAAAACCTTTATGAATATGAAAGCATTGAAATTTCAGCAAGACAAATTACATATAATACTGAATACTTTCAAAAATAAATCTTATTTACATGTAAACTAATAACTCAAAAAAATACATTGTATATGTGTGTTTAAATACTTATAAAATTATTTGTAAATACTTAATATTGTTCTAAAATAATTTAAAATTTAACTTTTTTATAACTTCATTGTTTTGATTTTCATTTCATTACCAAAGTTGATATATTTGAAAGCTGAATATAATGAAATCGCATTAGTTTTTGTATACTTTGTAAAATTGCTGTTATTCTTTTCAAAAGTTTTTTATCAGATCAAATTTAAATGATAAAATGAATACATCCCATTTAGTATTGATTCAAACAATAGTGTAAAAATCACGAAAAGATTGATAAATAAAAATATTCATATTGATTAAGATTGATTTATAATTGAGAAAAAAATTGATGATACAAATCATATATAAATACTTTGAGATTTTGCCAAGGTCGATAAGAAGCTTTATCAGGGAGTCTAATTTTTAGATTAGAATAGATTGAGGATTTTTTATGATTGAGTTTCAATACCATGCACAATCAAAAGGAAAATTGTAGAAATAATTTTTTACTCAAAAATTGTGATAAATGTCTTTGTATATTTTCAAAAAACAACATCAATCCAAACCTATTGACCTTCACTACGTCAGTTTTATTATCAAAACTTGTGTCTTTGATAAGATAAGAATTTGATATGATATACTCCACATTACTATTCATTATTTGTTTTGCTGTAAAATCTAATGCATTTTTATTATTATAATAAAATTTATGAGACTTTTTTAATTTCATCTGAGTAATAAGTTTATTCTCACTAATTTTGTTTATGCTTCCTTCACTGCAACATATTCTTAGAATTCAACTCCAAGTGCATACATATCCCAAAACGTAAACACATATTCAATTGTAGAATATTTGTTTTAAATATCTTTTCATCTCAAAATCATTATAATTATCAAAAATTTGAGACTTCACATAAATACTACATATTTTAATCATCTCTAAACACATGAAAATTCATTTTATTTGTTCATTTTGCTCATAATTTAGAACATTATCAAATTTTATATACATCGAGTATATGAGACTGAAATCTATATTGCTAGAGATTAGATCATTATTTTCTTTGATAATATCAATAATGCATTGAGTTGTGATATTTTTTGAATACATTGACTAATGGACTAGAATAAATTTAATTGAATATATCAATAATGCATTGATCTATGAATTTTTTTGAATATCTTCGTTTTGGACTAAACATGTTAGAGTTTATCATAGTAAATTGATTAAACTCATATCAATTGATATCTAATTAATATAAAAAATTTACAACTAAATCTTTGTGCACATTCACATTTCAAACTTCCTCTTATTTAATTAAAATTTTCATATTGGTTGTTTATTTTAATTGGTTATCTATTTGCTAAGATTCCATTCTTATAACTCTAACCTGAGAATCTCATTATTTATTTTCGCATATCCATATCTACACCTGAAATACTCTCATTGTCCTTTCATGAACTCCTGGAGATATTTCGGAAGTCTACAAGCAAACCAATAAGACATTTCTCTTCAAAATGAGCAGATTGTCTCGACAAGTTGCCACACCTATCCTATAATTCCCTTCTCGATGTAGGCCCCACAATACCTACACGAAAAATGCGAACGTTCGCATTGTTTCGAAAAACTAAGGATGGATAGTTTTATTTTGGGTCACAATAATGCAGAGCTTGATGGCAGATAAGAATTCTGCTTTGATATTTACATGAAGTTCAAGTTTGAAGAAAATCACATGGCAATTTGCAAAATACACATATAACACGCCTATAATTCCAACCTTACACTATCAGATGTTTCACAACTGCGATCGATGGTCATCAAGTACACATATCTAAAGCAGTATTTGCTGGTAGCTAATGCTACCAGCAAATACAAGTACCTTTCCAGACATCACATGACAAGCATTCGACATCGCCATGATTAAATACACGTGCTTCATTTCAAAATTAACAGGCGATTGTTGACGTGTCAGGAGATAATGATAACAACCTTTACTACATCGCCGCTGGGCCCCATCTGAATCCTATGCCAGTCCTACCTTGCTCAGACACAGTGCCAGTTCTTGATCGGATACGGTTCACAAATTTTCGTTGCCGAATATTTTTAGACTATCAGGATCCAAACAAGACAATCAGCACACAGACGTCCAAAAAACTCCTCCATCTACATGTATGCTCCGATCAAGATCGGCCCTCCTTCACTTTCTTCCGGGTCTGCGGCACTATCCTCCTCTTCGTCTTCCCCAACACAAGCTCGCCCTCCTAGCTTCGGGCCCACTTCAGACCCAACCAAAAGCTTGCCCGACTTTACTTCGTCGCCTCCCTGTACTAACAAATCATGTCCTTCCTCAAGGAGTCCTCCTGCCTTCTGATCAACACAACTCTCCTTCTCTCCCAACGTCGCTTTTCCCGACGAGCCCAAACACTTGTCCTCCCAAATACCATTGCTGGGTCCGGGATTGTGTGTGCACTCTTCGTCACTTTCATGCCTACCACCAAGAATACCAGTTGCAACCGAAGAAACATTCCTCACTGCACCCGCGGCACGTCTGAAAGCTTCCTGTTTGACCAAAGAAACGAAAGAGAGTCTTAGCTCTTCACACGTTCTCAAGAGTTCAGATCAACAAGGCTTATACATTAAGAAGGGGGAGATCAGACAGACAGATTAGCGTTTAGGTCCTAAAAACTAAGAGACGAGGAACATATGCATTCAACATCTGAACAGCCAAGGAAGACAAATATGAATGGCAAGGAATTTAGATAAGAAAACTGCAAAGTGAACATGGTGTCCAATAATACGATGGGTGCGAAATTCAGGCAGATGCTTAAAAAGTCTGAATGTGTTTCTTAAGTTCAATACATCACTTGAAATTTGATTACTTGAGTCAAGACAACATAGAAAGTAACGTGTTCATTTATGAAGCAGTGGTGCGACAGAAGGCAGGTAGTCAGTTTGTGATTTCTTTTGGTTTTTCTTTCTACAACCGAAAAGAAAAAGCGGACGTTACAATGGAGTAACAGAAACTTGACACCAACAGAAGCAGAAGATACGTGAAGAAACTACATGAGGATTGTTGAGAATACAAAATATGAAATGGAAAACCAAGGTCGACAACAAATGACGAAGAAGCAGATACATAAAAAACAAAACAGAATACATTAAACAAGGCATCCGCTGTAACAGAGAAGACACTACTATACACACTGTAGCTCCCATAAGCATTTGACAGATGCAAATATGGTCATATCCATGCAAGTTTCAACTAACTCAGGGCGTTCTGGCACAGGAAGTATCAATTTCCTCTTTAATTCTATCCCTCAGATTCCACCGGCTGAGGAAGTAGATGCGAATATGTAAGGAGCACGTGACTACCTTCCAAAAACCTGTTACGTGTTTCTCGTTCTACGAAAACCCATAACGTTTCTTGGACACCAATAACAACGAGACCATTTTTATAAAAGTTACAAAAAAAAGCAATGAGAATATGATCAAACAGCGGAAATTTTCCTGTGTAATTATACGTCGCAACACCCTCGAAACCAAGTTCAGAAGACTAAAAACTCCAATTTAACTGGAACATGACAGAACTAGACAGAACTACGACTAAATGTTCGATCTTGAATGTTCACCCAGAGACACTGAAGTGATCGAGGGCAATTCTACGGGAGGATAGCACGCCGTTCGTATTAATATAAGTGCTTTCAGATAAACGTGATCTCGTGCTGTTGCTTCATTGTCTTCCTCCTCAAGGCGATGTAACACAACTTTCGGGAAGAAAAGGAACCAGAAGGTTTACTATAAAGACCAGCACGACATTGGAGGCAACATTCAGAGCCAAATCCTGTACCTGAATAGCATGGGCAGGTAAAGCGCAATCCTCGAGGCCCGCATCTTCTAACCGTGGTGGTCGGGCATTCAGAATTCCCACTGAAGAACTGACCTCCATCTCTGTTCTCTCGCGGACTGGATCAAAAGTTCTGCATATTGTTCACCTATTACAATGAGTTCCAACGACAATGGCAAATACACTTCACAGAATCTGAACAATGAGCATACACATGGAAAAATCCATCAACCATACAACATCGCAGGGCATGCTTCGAACTGTGCGAGCGAATCATTGAGTTCAAGCCACTGCCGGCCTGAAGACATTCATTCAACCGCAGAATCCAGAGCAAACCGAATTCGGCAAGCTACAAGTAAACAAATCTCGAACCCTAGTCCAAGAATTATAACGTGTCCCGATCGTTCATCCGGACCGCTGAGTGAGTTGTACAATTTGAGATTCCGACCGACCTCCTCACAGAAAGCAGTTCAGCGCAACAAAACCTCGACCAGAACATAGCCGAAAGATGAGAACATCGAGGAGCCGACCGAGAGACCCGAACCATACCTGCGCTGGAAAGCTAATTGCTCTTCGTAGGAAATTCAAAACGGCGCCTGAACTTGGCGAGCTGTCCAACAGTCTCCGACTCTTTACCGGGATCCCTAACGAAGTAAGGGCGGTCCAATTTGAAAGCTTTGGCTGACAAAACGCGAACCAGACGGCCGTGCGGCGTGATGATCGAAATCCACTGTAAAGCCGGATGCAGACCCTTCTTCATGTCTTCGCTGCGTCTCTCGCGCACGAGAGCAGCTGCTTCTTTCCGCTCGTCCTGCTCGTCCTCTGCCTGCAGCGCTGGACCTCGCTCTGCGGATTCTCTCGTCGCGTCACTCGCGTCCGCGTATGAGCGCGGCCTCGCCTCCTCCCTTCGCACCTTCACACCTTCCGGCCTCTCTCCTCTCTCCACATAGTGATCGATCGAGCTTTTGTCAAGGCCGACTGGATGACCAAAAATGGTGTGCCAAGACAATGATGAGCCTTACTCTAAACCAAGGGCTAGGTTTCTATAATAAGACAGTAGTGAGAGAGAACTTACCAAAATCCGAGGGCTAGGTTTTTTTGTGAACTGCATCAAAGTTCATGAATCAAGAACAAACTTTTTATCATTTGCTCAAATCGGCGTGGTTGTCATCATTGAATTTTTAAGATTAAAATATATTACACGCTGTGCTCTTTTATATATATATATATATATATAATTTGATAACTGATTATAGAGTTGGAATAATCCAATTAGAAAAGATGTATGACCAGCATCTAAATTATCTACATTAGTTTAATTTAGTTTCATAAAAAAGTTAATTTAGGAAGTTGAGAAAATTCAATCTAAATTCAGAGTAAGTTCAAACTACAAATTTTTTTTTGTTTGGCCAATGGCGGGAATCATGGACTTGAAATTCTTCACTAGGTGTCATCAGTATAGTTTTCACTTTCGAAGTTACTTCAGTTTAGATCTAATAATGGTGTTGCATATTTGCACATTTTGAGATCTGGAGTAAATTTGCATGATTTGCAATCAGATACGTATGAACTGAAAAACAATGGCTACAAACACAATTCAATGTCTCAATACAAAACCAATGATGATCACTTTCACTTCCCATTCGTTGCATCATCCACGTTAATTTAGACGACGAAACGTGAATTAATTTAATAAAATTTAGGCATTGTGATATAAGATCGCCTAAATCACTCATGCATACGTATGATCCATCTGAATACATACGAGATAAACTTCCATCCATTAATATAGTATTGATCTTCTTTGAAATTATATCAATTCACACATTGATTATCTTTACTCAATTATAATTTTGTATAAATGAAGACAATACCATTCTAGTCTATTGTAGGTTTATCAATATTTGTTTCATATATTCATGCTTATTTTTCCACACCAACATTTTATCTCTAATTCATTGAGGAAGAAATGTTTTCATTCTTTTGGATACTTTTTTTATTCATATCTAATTGGCTATAATAATGATAGTGCGTGAGCTGATAAATATTTGTTTATCACTTATCAAATTTGGTTTTCAGTTTTTTTGTTATTTATCAAATTCATTATCTATCGATCTTTTATGTTAAATTTTTTTATGTTTATATATACATAGAAAAGCAACAAAATGTAATGAGTAAAAATTTTGAAAATATCTTTATAAATTTTAATGACATGAAAAAATAATAATTTACATAACTATCATGTAATATTTTGTAAAATGGATTCATTTAATTTTTTCTTTATATGATAAATTTATTGCTTTCATGAAATTTTTTTCTACATATAAAAAATAGTTTATTTTTTCTACTTAGCTAAAAGCAATTTGTTTTAGCTTAGTAGATGAATGAACAAGAAGAAATCTTCACTCAAATAAAACAAGTTTTAGTATTAGACGAAACGAGATGACAATCATTAGTTTTGGAGGAGTAGGATACGACATAATCAAAAACAAAGTATTTGATAATTATCAAATTTAGAATAGTCAAGTGAAAAGGAAGATGAAGATCATGATTCTAGGAAATATACTAAGGTCAAAATTGATCAAAAAAACAACAAGAAAGAATAGAGAAATCGTCAAGAACATGATGTGAGCTAAAATTAAATCATATTATCATATATCATTTGTAACCCTTGATCCTGAAACAAGTGTATAAGCATGACGAATGTACTTTAGTGTTTGTGTATCTTGAACAACGGTTTCATTGCAAACAGCTATTTGTCTCTTTGAAGCTCATGAACTTCAAAATGAAAGATTTATGATCACATCTTGTCATTGATCTTTAAAATCTCGGAGAATAGATTGCTAATGTGAAAAAAAACTCTTCACCTTTTGAGTATATTGTCCACCTTAGTCGTTGTCACATGTCTTGCAGAAACTCACTTTCAATGATATTGCAAATGCTCTGTTGACTAATGATTAACAACATAAGATGATGATGTCATCTTATGTATAAAAAAATAATGAAAATGATGATGATGTCATCTTTTTCATTTTTTGTACAACACTTAATGTAACTCAAGGTTGATCTTATTTTTGGTTAGACAAGCGTTTTAATTCAAGAGTAGATTCAAAACTAGAGTTAAACCTTTAGAAAGAAAAATGATGATATGTTGGAATTATGGCAAGAGTGACCATGTCAAAAAATACTACTGTGTTAAGACCAAAGATGGTAATACTCTGTTGGTCAAAATGATTCTAAAGTTTGATCTTGAAAAGTATGATTTGTTAAACAATGTACTATGATGTCCGAATTATGCCATATACAATTCACCAAAAGTTGTTTATGATATATGAATTCTAAATAGTGTTTGTTATTATCACATTTGTTACATTAGAAAGTTTTTTTGTGTATTTTCTATATATCAAAAGGTTTAAATCTTATAGAAATTATCAACTATGTAGGATTTTGAATTATTGGATTAAATTTAAATGCTTGATGGAATCCAAAGTACGATGATTCAAGTTAGCTTTATCCTTTATATAAAAAAAAATTTTATATGTTGAAATGTTAGGTTCAAAATATCTTCAGTGAAACTTTAAGAAGGGAATGCTTGAGATAAGAGTACGTGATAAGATTATGTTTAGAGGCTACAAGCACAACAATTTTAGATCTACTTGAGAGCACTATCATTTGTGATAAAGTGAATTTTACTAAATTTTGAGCTAAGATGTCTCATGTGTGGCATTTAAGCTTAGACACATGATTAATAGGTACTTGTTCCTCATGAATTAATAGAAATTCTTGCCTAACATAGGCAAAATTTACTCAAAGTTTTGCAAACAATGCGTTATGGGGAAACATCATATGCAACCATTTGGTGTTGGAACTCACAGTTCTAAGGAGTTATTTGAATTCGTACATAGTGACCTATGGGAATAATTTTCAAAAGCTTTAATCTCTTAGAATTTTTACTATGTATTATTTATTGATAATTACTCAATGATATTGTGGAGCTATTTTTTCACACACAATTTGAGGTATTTAAAACTTTCAAAAGTTGAAAAATCCAAGTTGAGATTGAAACAGAACACAAAGTGCAGTATATACTAATGTCTTATGAGTAAAAGTCCTTATGAGGGTTTTGAAATTATTGCTAAGAGAATAGTATTACTTTTCATTTCATCACTATCTAAACTCTACAACAAAATAGTTTTTTTGAGAATCTCAATGGAAAAATGACCATAGTAGACCATAGTATGTTTGATCCTCATGATTTTTCATATGAATTTTGAGCTAAAAGTGTGAAGGTATAATTTTTTTTATAGTGCGATATGTGTTTTAATAGCGTTTGTACAAAGTCATAAACATATGATTGATTATATTTGTTTTTACTGTATGGTTTATACTCTCATAACTTACAATCTTACTTGCCAATACCAACGAAGTTGGATTTGTCATCTAAAATTTCTTGTTTTTTTATATGCTAGTGGTGTAAAAAGGTATAGGTTATAAAACCCAATAGATTGTAAAGTTAATGTCAATAATTTTTATTTTTTTCAATGAGCCCATATTATTGAAAGAGTAAGATAGTCTTCAGATTTCCTGCACTAACAAAGAAAAATTTTCACTCACTGATGCTATTGAGTGATAGATTAATCATTATGTGATTAATGATGTAACACAAGAAAAAACTTTGATTTAGATGAATCAATGTTGATGAGCTTCAAGTATCTGCATCATAGCGTAGATATCAACTAGAATTGTTAAATAATGTGAAATGATCAAATTGATTTAATATAACCTTTGAAAGATATGCATTATGGATTCATTCATCCATATTTGAAAATCATGATAGTGATACAGAGAATGATGATAACATTGCGTTGATTATAAAGAAGCAAAAAATTTCTTATAGAGAAGTTTAAGCTTATTTCAATAAGCTCAAGTGAAATACTACTATGCAATGAGAGATGCAATTGCTTATGGTTAGCAAGATTTGAGAACTAGTGTAACTTCATAATTATCAAACTTTGATTGATTGCAAGTAGGTGTACAAGTTGAAGAAAAAGTTAACAAATGATAAAAAAAAACTTCAAAACTAGGTACGTGGCTAGAGATTACACAAAAAAAATGATGTTGATTATAACAAAGTATATCATCTATAGTAAATTATGATACAAATTGCTTAGTAGATGCATTTTCTATAATAATTAGTTGATTATGAATCAACTAATTATTATAGAAATATGAATGTAGTTACTACTTTTTTATGAATTATTAAAGGAGAAAATCTACTTAGTACAACCAGTTGGTTTTGAGAAGAAAGTTCAAGAGAAGCTAATTTGTAGATTACGTATATCATTATATATATATATTAAAACAAACTCATAGGCAATGGAATGCAAGATTTAATGAGTTCATGAAAGTACAAAGTTTTTCATGGAGTGTGTATAATCCTTATATACACATGAAGAAAGTGAATAATGAGATTTTTAACCTTATAATTCTAGTACTTTATGTGGATAATATGCTTAGTTCACTTTGAAAAGAAAGTTAAAGAGAAATTAAAGTAGATAGCCGAGATAATTATATGGGTTGAAACAAGCTCATAGACAGTGGAATGCAAAATTTGGTGAGTTTATAAAAACACACAGTTTTTATAAACTCACCAAATTTTGCATTCCACTGAGTGTGTATGATACTTGTATATACATAAAAAATATGACTTATGAAATTTTCAATCTTATTATTTTAATATTGTATGTAGATGACATATTTATTATGGCAAAGAATCAATTTTGATGTTATCTTATGCAAAAACTAGTTAAAGTCTACATTTAAGATGAAGGAATTGATATGTCCAAGGGTATATTAGGGATGAATAATCATAAGACTTAGATGAAGAAAAGATTCTGATTGAGTCAAGTCAAGTTTGTTCAATGTGAGTTTGATAGGTTTGAATATGTCTAACTTTAAAGTAG